TGAGCTTTGCACATTTGTATTTAGTACAAATGCTACATGTGCCCATAGTTGGCTCCCATAGAAGTTATGGTGGCTTAGTGAAGACAAATTGAGCTTGAGAACAAATCAAACTTGTCCTTTGTACCTCTGCAGCAGTTTGCCACCAAAATACAAACTGCTGAGATACACACAATAACTGACCTTTGAGGAAGCATGGAAGCCCTCTTGGGAGGGGACACCACCTGTATTTTGTGGGCCATGTATTGGCCCCACCTGGCTTGACCACAGGTGGGAATTGCTAGATGGGATTATAGCTGTGTAGAGCAGATCTACAGTGATAATGTACACTAAACTTTAGCAGCTAAAGCAAACTCACATGCTGAGTGAATGCTGGCTTTGTAACCAAAACAAGTCTGTGGGGAGCAGGGGAGAATATGCTTAGAAAACCCTAGAATGCAAGAGAAGGTCTACCAGAATCAACATAATAATTCCTTGGGAAATAAACCAAAAGGAGCAACTTCTCTAGCAAAAATGCTCAGTGAATACAGAATTCTGACTGTCTGTTGTGAGTGGGTGGTTGGGAAACTGGGAGCAGGGGCAAGGAATGCAGTCTCCTGGAAGAAGGCACAGCTGTTCGGAAAACTGAACAGGAGCACCCTGCTTTGTTGAGAGTCCCACTTGTTCAATATTTGCCATTTATTTCATGCTTATAACCTCAGGACTAGCCTCACAGAGTGGTCCAGGGTTGTCTCCTGAAAACATCCAGTGCTCCATATATTTTTAGGACAGAATTTTTATTCTCTGCCCAGCTAAATTCCATTGAGTCTTAATTTCTAGGCTGCTATTATTACACTTCACATGTATAATCTCAGTAAAATATATCTTTATAAGACAACATATATTAAGCTATAACTGGTGGCACCTGTAGGTTAGCATTCATGAGTGGGTATTCTGTCAGGGATATTAACAATTCTTCCCATAGTGTATAACAGATTCAGAAAGGTACAGAGAGAAAGACAGACATCTGTTGGAGGACAGATAGAAGGGGTTGCTTATCTAAGGCTTTTTTTTGTAATTTCATTATGGATTTGAACCATGAACTTCCTTGCACACTCTCAGCAAGATCAACTCTATCAGCTAATACTATTATGATATAGTATTACAGTGTATTAGGCCAGGAGAAAAAAAAAGCCAGTTCCAGAGGAGATATCCCATCAGATTCTGAGAGCTCATCAACAGCTTCATAAAATTCCACTGACCCACACTTTTGTTTGTTTAGTCAGCTGTTTTAAATGGCAAACTTCTTTCTATTCATTGGCAGAAAGTAGTGTATAGATAGATATGACTGAGAAAGATGACAGATCCTATTCAGTAAGCATGTTCTTGTATGAATATAAGTATTGTTTATTTAAAGAGGCGATTCATCTCAAGAAATGAGATCATAGTCAATGCAATAAACATTATCTTCTAATGTAGCAGCTGTGATTAACTAACATATCAGAAAGTGCTCTCATTAGATAATGCCTTACTGGTTTTACCTTTTTACAGCATCTGTGGAAGCAGCAATGAATACTAGATTGAGTGCTGAGGAAATTTGAAGGTAACTATTGGGTAAAAGTTGTATGCCTTTATAGGCCATTGATCTACTTATATTACATCACTATAGATTAATCTTGTAGAGGAAGTGTATTTGTTCTGATACACGTGTAACAACACCCTGTGATTGCAAGGAAAATGTTTTTGTTTTATTTTGCAGTATAGAGGGTTTTTTGTTTTTTAAGTCAAACTACAGATGTTACCAGGATGTGTCATTAGCCTCCCTCAAAGGGAGTTACAAGCTTTGCAAGTTTTTGGCATTAATACAAAAACAGCAGGGGAGAAAGCTATGGAGATTTAATAAACAGCATTATATTTCATGCATGATTAGAAAGTGACAGGTAATTTGAACAGCATTCAGGGAAAGCTGTTATGGAAGATAACACCTCTCCAGGAAGCTATTAGAATAGTTGCTGTAGTGTTGACTGCTTTTTAAATAGTAAAAATAATTTCTCTTTTGTACCTTGATCTCAAGGAACTGATCCCAAGCATGTTACAAAACAGTGAAACTTGGAAATTAAGTTGGGGATTTTCAAAGGTCAAAGATATTTACAGCCTGACCAGCAGTGAACTTTGAGCTAAAGGGCTTGAATTTGTTTGGTTTCTGAGTGAGTTGCCATTTTAACAGTTCTCTAGGATATCATTGTTAAGTTAGCAGAGTGCAAGTTATATTCCCAGAGTGCTCACCAGCAACTAGAATGCCACAAATGCTGAACATCTACATAATCAAGTTGGATCTGCATGCTGAGCAGATGGGATGAGGGCACTTCATCATATCTCTGCCAACGTGTGAGTCTCCTATGGTGAAGCGCTGGCTTCCCCCTCTTCTGTGCCCCTTGTTCAATAAGACTGGGAATGGTGTGTGGGTGGTGGTACAAGATCCTGGTCTGGTGGAAGTTTGTCTGTCAGGTACCAGAAGCTCTGATCACTGAGCAAGCAAAAGGGTTCTCTCAATGCTACTGCCATGGTCTCCCCTGTACCTGAAGAAAGACAGAAGTTCCCTTCCTAAACCATTTGAAGGTTTTCCTATACCAGGTGTGAGCAACCTGTTGCCACTGGATATTTTGGTCTACAGTTCTCATCATCCTTCACCACTGCCTTGAATTAATAGGAGATGGAGGCCAAAATATCTGGAGAACCAGAAGGTAGTTGCCCAGCCTGTTCTGTTCAGTTGAGATGAAAAGAAGCACAGAGATGTAGCAGTTTGGACATTTGATGAGCTACCTTGAAAAAGAGTTGGTGTATCATTTCTGTCCACCTGCTTTTCTCTCTGTGCAGAATACGACCTCTATGAAACCAGTTTTAGAATTCTCTGGAAGCTTTTGAACAGACTTCTCCAAGATTACTGTATTATGACACTGTCGTGCATGCGCGTGCACTCGGATGAGATTCCCAGGCACACACGAGAGATGGATGGCTGTGGTGGGAATGATGGCTCAGACTCAGAGGAGGGGAGTGGGTAGCTGAACCAACTGTGGCTCAGAGTTCTCACTCTGATATTGGAGTTGCTGAGACTAGCGAGGCCCCGGCTGCCCAAACTCTCCCACTGAGCCAGCCCGAGCCAGCCCTAGATCAAACATTTCAAGGACAACCACTGAGCCCCGCTCCCTCCTGTTTGTAGGAAAGAAGCCGGCGGGGAACAGGCTGGGGAGGGGTTCTCGGGAGGAGGACTTGACACCTCAGGAGACATGGAGGCAAGGGCCTGTCAACACACCCACCGGCAAGACCAATTAGGGGTTCAATGGGAAGAGCGTTAGTGCGCCTGCTTCCATAGCACACCTTCCTCCAGAGACCAGCCCCTGAAGGGTTCATAAGCAGAGCTTTGGGTGAAGGGGGGCAGAGCAAGGGGTCAACACTGCACCTGGTGTGTGAATTTCCAGGCTTGTGAATATGTTGACTTCCGTATGGAATAACGACCCTTCCAGTAATTGCTGAATTGCCTGTCTTATTTGGGATGGGGACACCTATCTCATAACACGCTTGCTCTATCCAGAAACCAGCTCTGCAGATAAATATGCCAGTTCCAGAATCTACCTTCTGAGCCCCAAAAATCATAATTTCATTTGAAAATATTGAATTTATAGGTTGCAGTCTTTCTTACATCCTGCTCATAAATTAAGGATGAGAAAGAAATACACAAATTTTCAGAAACCCCATGGCCAGTTTTTAAATAAAAAGGAGGAAGAAAAGGATGTAAGAACCTTAGCTGAAGCAGGGTCTATAAGTATTCTTGCTGTTAACTGTATTAACATGGAAATAAATAATCAGTATCAGTAAATGTGACTTCTAAATCATCACAGGTTGTATCACAGCCTGGATTTCAAGATCGCTGCTCACTTCTAGCCTAAACAATTGTAAATGGTGACCTAATCTGAGGCGTCTGAATATGATACTCTTGTATCAATCTAATATGATGGCATTCTTCACACAGAGAGGTGGGGAGGTTAATGTAGCTGAACTTTACAACCTGTATAAGCTGGCAGTGTTTGGGAGCAACTTCGACCATTCTAGTTGAGTCAGCAATTTTCTTGGTGAAAATATATGCAGTCTGTCTCTGTTCAAAGTACACAGTTCACTCAGAAAAGCTGTAAAGCAGTGTGTTTCTTATAGCTTATTGGGCAGCCCTCCCAGCATTTCCAGTATCTACTTTTTTCCTCATTTCCCACAAACCAAAAAAAGAATAATAGACAAACAGTCATGCAGCTAGGTAACTTTGGACCATGGATTTATTGAACATATGGGGGCCCATTTAGATAGCCGTGCATATTACTTCAATACACACAACTAACATTTTTCTCTTCCCACTGTCCCTAAACCACCATTACATGCCTTGCGTGTGCTTCTACATTCCTGATATATTAGAACACCACCAACAAGCTCTTTGGTCTAAAGCCACCTAATGGTTTGATGCAGGCACCATGTCTGGTGTTTTTACCAGGCCTGGTCTGTATTACATCCTGTTTTAGTTGCTGACTTTAAAAAAATCAAACTCTTTTAAAATGTTGTATTTTGGAAAAAAAAGTTATGATGTTTTTCTTGTCGTGGTCCTCTTCAGGACCTGTTGTGAACCACCCAGAACGTTTCAGCTCTTGGGCATTATTAAAGTTAAATAAATACACAAACCTTTGCGGGGGGAAAGCTTCTGCACACATGCAATTGTGCATTTTAAATGAAATCATCGTGGCTACAAGAATGAAATGGAGCTTCTTTCTGCTGCCCTCCCCACCTGTCCCTCCCTGGGAGGTGGGGGTGGGGGTTGTAGTGCCCTGATCCTTGGTCCCCAAGGCCAGCCCTACCTGCACCTGTAGGCGACTTTGGTCTGCAATGTACATCTCTCTTCCCACAAGATTCTTGAGAAACAAATCAGAGTCCCTCATTATCAAAACACTATAGTTGGTAATGTTCCCCTTCTTTTTCTCATGCAGATTAATCCTGGAAGTAAAGCTGCTCATGCCAGCCTTTGCCCGGGTGATGTCATCCTGTCAATTAATGGTGAGAGCACAGAAAACATGACACACCTGGAAGCACAAAACAAGATCAAAGCTTGTCTGGATCAACTGACACTGTCTGTGAACAGGTAATGCTCTGCGTTTGCCTTTTTGTGCTGACTCACAAGATCTGTGCTTGAGACCTCGCCAGTTGGGCAGAGCACATGCCACGATTGACAGGTGCTCATGACCTGATCCAGGCACAGGCCTTCTCTTTTATTATTCACTGGGACTTAAGCCTAGTTCTTATGGTCTCTTCTGGTGCATAGAAATGACCATTAATAGAAGGGGGCCTTAGCTCTCTTTTCAATTGTTGTTTTCTTTGAAAATATTCCCATGTAGTAAATTCATAAATTATCGTCTATTATCCATGTGTGATACTATGTGAATGCTACCACACAGTAAATTATACCATTCCATTCTTTAACTGGAAATTTAAGAGTGAGAGATCCCAGCATTCTTCTGAGCACGTTTGGAATCTGTCCTCTCCCTGGCCATCCCCAAATCTTAATGCTGAGGAGATGGGGAAATGAACGACAGCTCTCTGCTGTCCCCAGACTTCTGTGCCACCTTCTTCCCTCCTCATGTCAAAGTAAATTTGGCAAAGTGGGAACACAACTACAGGGGAGTCAGAGGACATTAGAAAGCAGACTAGTACAGAGTTCTGGAAAATCAGCCGTTTTGAGATTTTACAGAACTGTGAGAAGTCCCTGAAAAGCTCAGACAAACTCGTCCCTTTCTTAATTTAGAAAAGGTTTTGCTCATCTCTGTAGGGAAGCCATCTCATGGACCACATCAAGAATTATCATGTGAACAGGCCTCCATTATACATCTTCATAACTTTAACCACAGAAAGAGTGACAGAGCAGTTTTTACTACTGCTGAAAATATGTTGCTGTTTCACAGTGTTCTTCGGATGTGTGTTAATGGGTGGCAGACTCAAGAAAACATAGAACCATAGAAACAGCAAATCAGAAGGGGGTTTCTAGGCCATCTAGTCTGCCCCCAGCTCCAGCCAGCTCCACTCATGACTTGCCTACCATGTGCATGTCCAGCCTATCCTTGAAAGTCATAATGTAAACTGTCCTGGTGATATGGTTCACTTTTCTAGAAAAAGGGGTTTAGGTTTAGCATCATAGGGAGAACCATATTGCTGTTGTGAACTGCCCAGAAAGCTTCGACTGCTGGTCAGCATAGAAAACAAACAAACAAACAAAGCCACTAATTTATATAGGAATGGGCATCACTACATGGTAAAATGGTTCTGGCTGGTTGGTTGTTAGCAAAAGCATATTTTAAAGTCAATGGATGGGTAAAATTGTTAATGTGGAAAAATGACGAAAACTCATGTTTTGCAATGTCTTTGCTTCATCATTCAAAGAAGCTTCAAATTAGAAAAATGCATTCATACTGTGTAAATTGGTTTTTCTTTCCTTTCCTTTCTCCCCTCTGTGGAATCAAGTCTATGTCTAAAGATGCTGAAGCCAACCATAAATTATTTTTGTAGCCCTGCCAAAATGAGTTATCTTCACAAGACTAATAGTATATTTAATAGCTTCAAATACATTTACAAGATTTTCCAATCTGCATTTTCATATACAAAGTACTACCACTTGCTGTGTATATTTCATCTTGAAACTGTTTAGACTATTTGAAATCTTGAAAACAGTGTGGAACCTAAGTTATTGCTTGCAATATATCAAAACCCATCACTTTTTCCCTAGTGCACTAGATCTTTTATAGCATAGATTCCCATAGAAGAAACATAATTAATGTCAAAGTTAGGTCCATTAAACTGTTCACCATCCTTTTATTGAATCTAATTTCTGTCTTTGATTCTGACTAGTGTGTACTTCAGAGAAACTGTGAATACCACCTAAAAACTTAGCGTCTTGCTTCTTCCTCAGAAATAGACTTGAGATTTAACCTCTTCCTGGACTGCATTCTTAGAGATCTTTTGACATTGGAGACAAATTCCATTATAATACTATTTGTGTATACTTAATGGAATGCAGGAAACATCCTTCTGCAAAGCTTCATTGCATGTAAACCAAAAGTACATCAAAGCAAATTGGAATCAAAGCAAAAGTACATCAAAGCAAACGGCCCGACCCATGAACGTGGACACACTCTGGACCTGGTTTTCTCGACGGGGCAGGAAGAGGGTGGTCTGAGGGTGAGGAATTTATGCTTGACTCCCCTGTCATGGTCAGATCACTTCCTAGTGAGGTTTGTGCTCGAGAGCGACATCTCCCTCTGTAAGGGTGCAGACCCGATTGTGTGGGTCCGCCCCCGGAGCCGGATGGATCCGGAAGGATTCCTGAAGGCTCTGGGGGAGTTTCCGGCTGACAAGACGGGTGCTCCTGTCGAGGCTCTGGTTGAACTGTGGAATGGGGAGATGACCAGGGCTGTAGACACGATTGCTCCTAAGCGTCCTCTCCCACCGGGCAGAGCCCGCTCTTCCCCTTGGTACACTCCAGAATTGAGGGCAATGAAGCAGGTTGGGAGACGGCTAGAGCGTAGGTGGAGGAAATCACGTGATGAATCTGACCGAACACACTTAAGAGCCCACTATCGGGCCTATGCTGTGGCGGTGAGGGCGGCGAAAAAGAGACACTTCTCCGCTTCCATTGCCTCCTCACAATGCCGTCCGGCGGAGCTCTTTCGAGTGGTGCAAGGCCTGGTTCACCCAGGGCCAAAGGAAGAGCTGATTCCACCCTCAAAGGCCCGCTGTGACGACTTTGCCGAGCATTTTAGGGAGAAAATCGCTCAGATTCGTCACGAGCTGGATTCCACTATTGATTCAGAGGTTTTAAGGGAGACACCAACGCTGCCGTCTGGTCCAGAATTATTGGATGAATTTCAGTTATTGCGGCCCGATGATGTGGACAAGGTGCTTGGACGAGTACGTCCTACCACTTGCCTTCTGGACCCTTGCCCGTCTTGGTTAATAAAGGATTCCAAGCACGGGATTGGAACCTGGATCTTGGAAGTGGTTAACGCTTCTCTGAGGGAGGGTCGGGTGCCTGCCCCTTTAAAGGAGGCGGTAGTCCGACCGGTCCTGAAGAAGGCGTCACTGGATCCAGGGATGGCCGCTAACTATAGACCAGTGGCCAACATCCCGTTTCTGGGCAAGATGTTAGAGCGAGTGGTGGCGGGACAACTCCAAGCACTCTTGGATGAAACTGATTATCTGGACCCATTTCAGTCCGGCTTCAGACCCGGGTACGGTACTGAATCTGCCTTGGTCGCCCTGTATGATGACCTGTGCAGGGAGAAGGACAGGGGGAGTGCGTCCCTGTTGGTTCTCCTGGACCTCTCAGCGGCTTTCGATACCATCGACCATGGTATCCTTCTGGATAGGCTGGCGGGATTGGGGGTCGGAGGCACCGCTTTGCGGTGGTTCCGCTCCTATCTCAACGACCGATTCCAGAAGGTGGTGTTGGGGGACTATGGCTCTGCGCCATGGCAGCTTTGCCATGGGGTACCGCAGGGTTCCATTTTGTCCCCTTTACTGTTCAATATCTACATGAAACCGCTGGGAGAGGTCATCAGGAGGTGTGGGCTGCGGACCCATCAGTATGCTGATGATACCCAGCTCTACCTCTCGTTTTCCACCAATCCAGGTGAGGCAGTGGCTGTGCTGAACCGGTGCCTGGCCGAGGTAATGGGCTGGATGAGGGCCAATAAACTGAAGCTCAATCCAGACAAGACGGAGGTCCTGTTGGTTGGCGGTTCGGGCTTCGGAGAAGGTGACCTGAACCTTGTCCTGAATGGGGTTGCACTCCCTCCTAGGGACAAGGTCCGCAGCTTGGGAGTGCTCCTCGACCCGGAGCTTTCACTTGAAGCTCAGGTGACAACAGCGGCGAGGAGCGCTTTCCTCCAGCTTCGGCTGATTCATCAGCTGCGCCCCTACCTGGAGTACGACTGCCTTGCAACAGTGACTCATGCGCTGGTGACTTCCCGTCTTGACTTCTGTAACGCGCTCTACGTGGGGCTACCCTTGAAGACGGTCCGGATACTTCAATTGGTTCAGAATAGAGCTGCCAGGCTGCTGACGGGGACTGGACGTTATGTTCACATGACGCCAGTTCTCCGTCAGCTTCACTGGCTCCCCATTGAAGTCCGGGCCCAATTCAAGGTGTTGGTAATGACCTATAAAGCCCTAAACGGCTTGGGTCCTGGTTACCTGAAGGAGCGCTTACATCCATATTTGCCCAGTCGCCCCCTGAGATCGGCGGGAGAGGCCCTTCTCCGGGAGCCCTCCGTGAGAGAAATTAGGAGGGTGGTTACTCGGAGAAGGGCTTTCTCAGCGGTGGCGCCTAAGTTATGGAATGCGCTCCCCAGAGAGGTCCGCCTGGCGCCGTCGTTATTTGTTTTTCGGCGCCAGGCTAAGACCTTTTTATTTAAGCAACATTTTAAATGCTAAATACAATTGAATTTTATCTGGCCAGGGCGGCTTATTTTATAATGTGAGTTTTAATCAAGATTATTTTATATGGATTTTAACTTGTTTTATCTATGTTGTAAGCCGCCCCGAGGCTTCGGCGAATGGGGCGGCATAAAAATGTTTTAATAAATAAATAAATAAATAAATAAATGCTTATACCTCCATGCATGGAATAATAGTTCATATGAAATCCCAAAGGATCCTACCATATCCATTTTTGTCAAGTGGAAATTCCCCATCACCAGCTTGGATAGGATGGGAAACTGAACAAACCATATAAAGAAAGCAATAGAAAATTAATTTGACCCAATTTTGCATTTAACAGTCCAACCCAAGTTTTCACCCTATTTTTGGAAGCTAAGATCACACACACCTTTGGTTACGTTTGACAGCTTACCTTTGGACAGCTGTTAAATGAACCGAAGAGGAGGAGGAGGAGGAGGAGGAGGAGGAGGAGGAGGAGGGAAATAAACTTACATGTAACCTTTATGGAACGATGTCCAGGATGGAGACCTGCTGGAATGTATCAGGAGGCAATCCCTGCACATTGGCCACCCAAGGCCCTTCATTCCTGCACATGTTGCAAAAGTTTGATAATTTTTCTTTTTAAATGGAAACATTTCTGAAAATTAGGAGGAG